TATTACAGGAACTCTCATCCTGCTCATCCCAAAGAGCACAGTGAGGCAAACTATTAGCCTAAGTGGTATGTTGATCACACCAATTAGGGAAAAGAAAAAGGATGTGCTGGGAAGGGAACATATATTTGTTTGCTTCCTGCATGCAGAGAATATGGGGAGCATGTCCCTATGGGATAGCGGCAGAGGGAATCAGAGTGCAGCTCGCATGAAGCAGCAGAGAGACCACTTCTGAGAGAACCAGTTGGTGTGTGCAGGAGAAATCACTCCATTCTTTAGCAAAGTAACTTAGGCTTTGAACCAGTGGCCATCGCAACCAGGAGAGGGAAAACAAACAAATCACGTCTTTGCCTCGGATTATTAACGATACTTGGTTAACGCCCTGGAAGCCTTGACAAAGAACAAAGGAGCACAGCAGTGGCAAGGAGGCTGCCAGCAGGCACATGTCCACAAGCTCCATCTCAGTAGGCCAGCTAACCATGATTAACTGTATGTGTCCACACTGACAGTGTCTCTCATGGTATGAGGCAGCTGTAAGCCACGGGATTTCCCTAGCAGCCCAATTCTGCTTTGATAAACTAACAGTAAAAAGTTGCACACAGTCTCTTAAGCAAGGTATAAGTAAATTCCACCTCACTCAGGCTCTCAAGGTCTTATTTACTTTTTGAAGCAAGTCTTTATCACACCTTCTCTTTCTCAAACAAGGGTAGGTTCATGAATTCCTAAAGCAATTACGCATAGCAAGCTTCTAGGCACGGGAGAACGACAAGTGTGTGCTAATTACAAAACAAGTGTCAAGTTATTTTTCCCCAAACAGTTTCAAGAGCTTACAAAACCATTCTGAATGATCATGGAAATTCTCAAGATTTCAAAGTCTGCTTCAGTTAATTCAAGCTGAGTCTGTCTTGCTTCAGGCAACTCAGCAAAAACAAGTGAAGCTGAAAACAGATGATCAGCTGTAAAGCACAGATGGTGTACTTTCTTTACTCTTGCGTAATACTTCACATGCTGGACAAACACATTTCCTCAGAGGTGTAGCTAAAACAGAACCATTAGGGCAAACAGCAGTAATGTTACAATACTCTAGATTGCTAAAAGAAAATATTAAATAAGCTTGCAGCTGGAAGTTGGGTCTCTAATTTTCCAGGTTATAGTAAACCAGCATGCAGTCCTTCATATGTGCCAGTAGATCTCAAACCATATCCTCAGAACCAAGTACTGTTTCTTTTCCCCCCAAAAGTACTTTTCTAAGTGTTATTTGGAATTGGCTTTCTTCAGCAAGCACACAGTTCTAGCTGACTCTTCATTTCCCTAAGACTATTTTCATACTAAATCTTGCTCAGTCAGCTTGAAGCTTGACACAGACACTACCATAACAATGTGGAAAGAGAAATACACCGTTCTGAGCAGCCTCCTATTGCTCCAACAAAACAGAGCTTCTTCAGTTAAAAGCAAAGGAAGTTTCTGTTTCAAAGTTGCTAGTTTTAAAAATCAACAGCCCAGTCTTGGCTTCGTAACTTCTAAGTTTTTTTGTATATCAAGAGGAAGCAGAGGGGATTTCTGTACCTGCACTAGCCCCCAAGAAATCATGATTTCAAGGCCTTTACAGCAGCAGTTCTCCTCACAGCTAACTTCTGCTATTCAGGGGTACCCCCAGAATTCATTTGCCACAATGCAGGAAGGAACATAAGAGAGGTCTACTTCCTCTTCAGTAATTTGTTTGCCTTTCCTCTCTTTCAAAGACAGGAGTGATGAAGAAATTCAGAGGGGCTGCGGGAGCAGAACTGCAGCCCGAGGTCCAGCTGGATATAGATGGATGCAAGCCCAAAGCATCTCCTGGAAAAACAGGAACAGCAATGCTGTCTCCTGAACTTCTCTCCCATCCTTCCTCCAACTGACTGAAAGACACTCACCAAATAAGCACATATGGGATTATTCCTGAAGGAGAAAGAGGCTTTCCTGCATGAATGAAGCTAAAAAAGAATGTATCTGAAATGCTGACTGCATTTGTTTCCTTACATAATGTTCCTTATCAACTTGCTGTAATGATTTACTCCTTACTGTAACTGAAATTCATTTTACATCTGATTTTATTTTAGACATCAATGCCCTTAAAGCAAATTACACTAGCAGATTTCTTGATACACATGTACAACCACTGCAAATGACTTCATTGGGTGAATCATAGAATTTCCTTTCCTTTGAATAGGGTTTTCCTTTCCTTTGAATTTCCTTTTCACTTTATATTCCTTAAATGCTTTCATATAGCATGGGTTTTTTTTTTTTTTTTTTTTTCTTTTAAATTAAAAAAAAAAAATTTCAAAAAAACGTAGAAAGGTTTGGGTTGGAAGCCGAGAGCAGAGCTGCTTTTCAGTTCACCCTCCACTAGAGCAGGTTGCTCCAAGCCTCTGCGTCCAACCTGGCCTTGATCACTTCCAGGGATGGGCCAGCCACAGCTCCTCTTGGCAACCTGTGCCAGTGCCTCACCATCCTCAAAGGGAAGAGCTTCTTCCTAATGTCTAATCTAAACCTGTCCTCTGTCAGTTTTTCAGGTCCATGTCTTTCCTGAGCTGGACACAGTACTCCATCCTCCATCTCCTATTTAAGGATGGAGTTATCACATGGAACAGAAGAGGAAGCATCTGATCTGGCCTGTTGCTCAGCATGTATGTACAGTGCTCTCCACAAGCCCACTGCAGTACCCAAAGATTCCCATCAACCACCCATTTTTCTCTTGTCTTTTCAAATGTTCGGTGTTACAAAATTTCCCTCCCTATTCAGAACAGCCTATTTGCATCAGCAAAGCTGTTGTCTGCAGACTCCCACTGTTTACTGGCAGAAAGGCAGAACTTGAAGATCCAAACTCTGAAAATATTTAATGCATAAACTTTGTAACCAAATTTACCCAGCTGCTATGGCCAAACGGCTTTAGGGCTTGGATGCTTTAAGGAGAACCACGAGGTGCCCTCTCAGATGCAGGATGTCATAAAGGGACCTCTTTTTCAGAATGAAAGTCTCCAAGGAGACACTAAGCGCAAGTTCCATCCACTTCCACTACAGCTGGTGGTCCTACATCCCTGAAGTGCTTCTGAAAAAGCTCTCTCGTGTAATTGAGTGTTTTCCTGGACTAGCTTTAAAACAACAGAGAAGGTAAAGTCAGCTCAGCCTACTGAACCCAATGAATGGCCGGCTGTGGCTTTACCAGTTATGTTCATCATCAACACAACACAAAATTATGCATGTTCTGACCACTAACTACCGTTGCTTGTGGCAAACTTCCACCATATTCACTCAAACTCACTGCTGCCTAAATTCAGGAAAGCACGTGGTAAGTCGTGAGTCTGACAGCAGGAACTTTTTCTTGCTTACCCCTTTCCCATTGAGGGTGTTTTGACTATGCAGAGAAACACAAGATCCCACCCAGAACATATACCTCTTACCCCAATTCCCCCCCACCCCC